AGGGGCAGCCTTGATAGAGCTATAATAATCAGATGCTATTTCTGTATCTAAAATTCATAATACTGGGAACGAATACGAGATCTAGACAATAGTTTTAAAACTAAAACGCTGATATTTTGCCTTTTCTCCTTTCTTCTCTATTGTATTCTAAATTTTTGTATTCTAAATTCTCTTCTGCAATACCACACACTCATATTATTGTTTTTTATAGTTCTGCTTCTGCGTTTCCTCTCAGTTCTTTGTTCGTGAATGCAGAAGAGGTTATTTAAGGTAAGTAGTTCCTGCGAACAATGGTGAAACAGAAATAAATAAAGATGAAATTCAGACAAAGAAAAATCCTTTTTAAGTAATCACCCATCCATTCAGATCATTCAGATATTAGTTATACAAACAAGTGGTTATAATGGGATTCAAACATGATCAAAGCATGGAAAAATACTTCTGAAACAGCTTCATTATCTAGGTCACAGGGGTAGGCAACCTTGGCTCTTTTATGACTCGTGGACTTGAACTCCCAGAATTTCTGAGCCAGCAGGTTAATACAGGTAGTTCTTGATTTATGATTACAAAATAGCTCAAAATAGAGAGGGGGGAGAGAGAAAGAGAGACAGAGAGAGAAAGAGAGAAATAAAGAGAGGGATAGAGAAAGAGAGAGAAAGAAAGAGAGAGAGAAGGAGAAAGAGAGAGAGACAGAGTAAGAGAGAGAGAGAGACAGAAAGAAAGAAAGAGAGAGAAAGGGAGAGAGAGAGAAAGGGGGAGAGAGAGACAGACAGAGTAAGAGAGAGAGACAGAGAGAGAGAGACAGAGAGAGAGAAAGAGAGAAAGACAGAGAAAGAGAAATAAAGAGAGGGATAGAGAGAAAGAGAGAAAGAAAGTGGGAGAGAGAAAGAGAGAGAGTAAGAGAGAGAGAGAGAAAAAAAAGAGGGAGAGAGAATAAGAGAGAGAGAGAGTAAGAGATAGAGAGAGACAGAGAGAGAGAAAGAAAGAGAAAGAGAGAGAGACACAGAGAGAGAAAATTATGATTTCATAGCCATCATTTTGACTTTTGAAATTCACTCTTCGGTTACCCCTAAAAAAGGCAAAACTGCAGTCCAAGCAAATATTCCAGAACTCAATGCATACTTCTTCTTCACATTAACTAAAAAATAATAACAAAAATGCATAGGATGCCCAGGAGTGATTTGCATTTCTGAAAAATAAAAAGAGTTAAACTTTATTTCGGTACAAACTAAAATCTCCCGAATGAGTCGTGAACTCCCTTGCAGACCAGATTTGATCCAGCTTCAGGCTGTCCATAAAAAAAGGAAGCTGCTGCTTCTCTTGTTAAATCAGTTTCAAGCCAAAATTTCCTCACAGAGAACTGGGAAAGGCATTTTTTGGAAGGGAAAAAAATGGATATACGATCACATAATTCAATAACTGCACGAACCAGGCTGAAAAGGCAATCGGTTAAGAGAAATCAAATCTTTAGTTGGGAAGATAAATGGAAAGGAACAACAGGCAAGAGAAGTAAGCAATTCTGCCCCATCACTCTTGGTGAATCTGATGAATATCCATACAGAGAGTGTCAATTGCCTGGCCCTGTCTGATTTGGGGGGGGGTGGGGTGGGCTGCAGAATTGGAAAAATCTAGGCAAAATTCTTAGTAATCTTGTGTTTATTTGGGGGAAGAATGGGGGTTTGCAAAAACCTAACCGTATTTTCCGGCGTATAAGTCAACTTTCTAAAGCGTGGAAATCGGCGCCGAAGTTGGAGGTCGTCTTATATGCCGAGTCGTCTTATACACCGGAAATTACGGTAGTTTCCGGCGTATAAGACAACTTTCTAGGCATGGAAATCGGCGCCAAAGTCGGGGTCGTCTTATATGTCGAGTCGCCTTATACGCCGGAAAATACGGTAGGTAAAATTCTAGATCACCTTGTATTAATTTGGAGGAAAAAGGGAGCCCTCTATGAAACTTGATTGCTCTTCCTTCCTGTCAGGCACCCATATTATTCCAGCCCTTAAAGTTAATCAACGGTCATTGATTTCAATAGGATTTAAGTGGCTTGCTTGGAGATGGAACCTCCCAACGAAGTGAATGAAATCCCCTTAGTTTCTTTTTTAAAAAAATATATATTCAACGGGAGGTTGCTAATTCCTGATTTACGTCATGCCCAGATGTTAAGGGATTCGTCAGATAATATCCACGGATCGATGAAGATTCCACGTCCGCTGATGACCAGGATCTTTTTTTCAATACGGAGAGATCGATGGCATAATAATCAGATGTGAAATTTGGAGAAGGTCTGAAGATCCAGGCTAGGTCCCTTCTTGGCGCCATGGATCACCCCATAATGTTTTTTAAGATGCTTTCAGGCACGGAGGCTGGATGAGATGCTAGAGGCAGGCAGCGGTTCCTGCGTCAGGAGCTTGAAGAGAGAAGATGAACAGGCAAAATATTTCTCCAAGGGAGAGGCCATGGGGCCTCCGATCCTACGTAAATCACGCCACCTAAATGAGGCTGGGAAGCGAAAGAAACAGAAGCAGTAAGGTACCTGGTTATGACTCTAGGCAGAATAAGCATGGGTTTCAGGGAATCCTCGGCTTACGACCACAGTTGGTACTAGTTGCTAAGCAAGGCGGTTGTTAAATGAGTTGCTTCTCACTTCAGAACCACCTTTTTGCCATGGTCGTTAAGCGAATCGTTGCGCTTCTTAAGTGAATTATGCGGTCGTTAAGGGAATCCGGCTTCCCTCATTGACTTTTTTTCTTTCTTTCTTTCTTTCTTTCTTTCTTTCTTTCTTTCTTTCTTTCTTTCTTTCTTTCTTTCTCTCTTTCTCTCTCTCTCCTTCCCCCTTTCCCTTTTCTTTCTTTCTTTCTTTCTTTCTTTCTTTCTTTCTTTCTTTCTTTCTTTCTTTCTTTCTTTCTTTCCTTACTTCCCCCTTTCCCTTCCCTTTCTCTTTCTTTCTTTCTTTCTTTCTTTCTTTCTTTCTTTCTTTCTTTCTTTCTTTCTTTCTTTCTTTCTTTCTTTCTTTCTTCTTCTCCTTCCTTTTTCCTCTTTCTCTTTCCTTCCTTCCTTCCTTCCTTCCTTCCTTCCCTCTCTCTCTCTCTCTTTCTTTCTTTCTTTCTTTCTTTCTTTCTCTCTCTCTCCTTCCTTCCCCCTCCCCTTTCCCCTCCCTTTCTCTCTCTCTCTCTTTCTTTCTTTCTTTCTTTCTTTCTTTCTTTCTTTCTTTCTTTCTTTCTTTCTCTCTCCTTCCTTCCCCCTCCCCTTTCCCCTCCCTTTCTCTTTCTTTCTTTCTTTCTTTCTTTCTTTCTTTCTTTCTTTCTTTCTTTCTTTCTTTCTTTCTTTCTTTCTTTCTTTCTCTTCTTTCTTTCCCCTCCCTTTCTCTTTCTTTCTTTCTTTCTTTCTTTCTTTCTTTCTTTCTTTCTTTCTTTCTTTCTTTCTTTCTTTCTCCAATCAGCTTCCTCTCTGCCTTTTCTGCAAATTTCTTGATGCATTCTCCTTAGTTTCCCCCCCTTCTTTTCCTTCCAACCTTCACTTAACCATCCATGCAACAATCTAAGTAAAGAACAGATACGTATCCTGAGGTGCTGAAGGGAATTGCAGTAACTAGGCATCGGTTGCCTGTCCCTTGAGTTGTTCAGAATGTTTTTCATGCTTTATAAATATCTTGCAGGCAATAACAGTGTATCCGCAAAGAGCCCTGTCCTCAAATTACAATGCTAATTGAGTCTGACAATTATAGACATTAAATCGTGATAATCATAAAGCGGATCACCACATGATTGGACCCACTTTTACACCATTTTTTTTAAGCAGTCATTAAGCAAACCCATTGTTCACTCTGGACCCTTTTTTTTTGCCAGAAACCATAAGTATATACCAGTTTGTAGAAAAAAATATCGTAAGTAGCAGTCACATGACCCCTGGGGGCTACAAATGGTCATAAATACAGGCCAGTTACTGAGTGTCCAAAATGCAGTTGTCAACATCCAGCTTGAGAATCCAAATAAAACTCCAAGTTCATTCTGTCTCCAAAAATCTTCTTGTTTATTTTTTATTTATTTATTTTTGTTTAAAAAGTTTTTATTTTCCATTTATTCATACAAAATACGATTAACCATTGGTACCGCCTGCCCATTCCCCCCAGGCTGCGTCCACCCTCTCTAAACCTTCCCCACTTCCCTCCTCTTTCTCTCCTCCCCTCCTACTCTCTTCCCCTCCCCATCTCCTCTAACCATCCTACTTCCTCCCTACTCCTTCCTCCTCTCTCATCCCTCTCACACACATGAACGCAGCACAGGGGAAATGCCCAAGCATTTGCCATGACTACATTATCATTACCCACCCACTCACCCACCCACCCACCCTCAACCCTCCCCCCCTCGCTTCCCAGAGCAGAATACAGAGTTATTATTAAGAAAGTTAACAATAATAAAAAAAAGAAAAAAAGAAAGAAAAAAGAAAAAAAGGGGAAAAAACATCATACTTAACCTTTAACTCCCCTTAAATTAAGACATATAAACACATCTCTACAACAATTACTATAAAATTTACTCATAAAATAAATGAAACTTTAAAGTACCATATTTTTTTTGAATATAATCTGTCCATCTTCTCCATACAATAATATATCTTTCTTGTGTATGATCCTTCAAATAAGCAGAAATTTTTGCCATTTCTGCAAAGTTAGAAACTTTAAATATCCATTCTTCTAAAGTAGGCAACGAGTCCTTCTTCCAATACGAGCCTACTAATAACCTTGCTGCAGTTAATAAATTCAACATTAAAGTAGTTTCTTTGTCATTTAAATCCACAAAGATACCCAATAGGAATAATTGAGGGGTGAACTTTATCTTCCTGTTTATTGAATACACTTCATGGGCATGTCAAAGCATGTTGCCTGTTTCTTGGAAGAGGAGTTTCTCCTTGTGAGCATAACAAGGACTCACGTAGGCTGGGACAGAACACATTTTTCACGCTTACAACCTTTGTGGCAGCCCCATGGTCACGTGAACAAAATTCAGACACCTAGCATCTGACTCCTATTTATGACGGTCACAATATCCCGGGGTCACATGATTCCCTTTTGCAAACTTCTGACAAGCAAAGTCAACGGGGAAGCCTGACGAGCTGTAACAACCCAGTTACTATCTTATCAACTGCGGTGATTCACTTAACCACTGTGGCGAGAAAGTTCGTAAAATGGGGCAAAACTCACTTAACACGTCTCACTTTAAATCTTCGGGCTCAGTTGTGGTCGAGGACTGCCTGCATCCTATTTTGACAACCGAGAATAACATTCAAAAATGGTATTTCCTGGCTTTATCCCAGGAGGATTCTCCGGCGTGAAAAATGTCTTTTTCAATTCATTGTTTTCAGTCTTGTGTTGATTGACCGAAGATGGAAAGGTTTGGCTTTAGGCTGGCACAACGGGGCTTCCCCTTGCCTTTCCATCTTAAAAAGGTTTCCAAAACAGCTCACAATGTGGTAGAACAAGAACAAAATCAATCGGCGTTCTTCCTTTCTAAGTTGCTTTAACCTCGGTAAGAATCAGGGAGATATTTGGGAACTGCTAAGTAAGCAAAAAGAACAGAAAAGGGCTTTTATATATATATATATAGATAGATGTTGGAAACATAGACAGTATAAAGAAAAGACTCAGATTGCTCCTTTCTGGACCCATCCAGTATGTCAGGAGGAAAGAGACAATCTGGCTGGCTAAGAATGCATTATTATTTTTTATATAAATATTTTATTAGATTTTATAAGGATAAGGAAGGGATAAGGTTGGTATGGGTATTGGGTAGGGTTAAGGAATAGAGTTAGGTAAGGTGACCAACTTTTTTACAATGAAAAGGAGGACACAAATAAATTGAAGAAAAAAATATAAATAAAAGAAATATTTTATTCATTGCAACAATAATACAGACAACTTGCATGTGCAAAGTTTGCCAGCCAGCGGGTGTTTTGGGGCGCTCAGCAGCAATTCCTATTGGCTTTCGAAAGCCAATAGCGGGAGAAGCACAGCTCATGCAAAAGTTGAAAAAAAACCATCAAAAAAAAGGTGCCGGAACGCCGTTCTAAGCGTTCTGTGAGGGGAAAAAAAAGCCCTGCAGATTAGTCTTCAAATATCGAAAAGGAGGACATGAAGGAAGACACTTTTTGAGGGAGGACAAAACTTACAAAAGGAGGACTGTCTTCCCTAAAGGAGGACAGTTGGTCATCTTAAGTTAGGGCAAAGGTAGGTACAGTAGTGGGGTTACCCCCAACAATAATTCCACACTTTAGCAAGCAGACTATCTTCTGGGTACAAATATTAGGTGACAATTAATATAATACTAAACAATTATAATCACTAAGGATAACAATAAACATAAAAATAATAGTTAATCAGTAAGTAGCATTCATCCTATTAAATTTCACAATCCTTTCTCACTACAACTTATTGCTAACCATTGATAAAAAATTTTCGCATGTTTTGAAATAAACTGAGTCTTCTTTCTCTTTAATCTCTAAAGTTAGTCTATCCATTTCTGCACATTCTAAGATTTTCGTAATTATAATCTGGTCGGGTGGTAGGTTTTCGTTTTTCCAAAATTGGGCAAATGCTATTCTCGCAGCTGTCAATACATGTAATATTAAATATTCGTTCTCTTTTCCATGATTAAGTCCTAATATTCCTAACAGGAACAGAACGCATTATTTTAACCAATTTCAATAAAATAGATTTCTGGTTTTCTTATGGAATGGATTTTCAGACTGGTCCTCCCCGTGAGGCTGACAAACTTTGACATATTCCGCAGCTATAAAAAAAATAGTGGTTCCTCCAGATGTTAGATGACATTTCCTACCACATCTGATCTTTGACACTAGAAAAAAGGCTGGTGGGGATCACTAGATCCCTCATTTTTTGTATTTATTTTCAAAGTCAGGGTTAAGGTTAGCCCTGCCTTAGGTCTAATCTGCATTGTCTCAGTGGGAATCCAGCCACTGGTTGTGTTTGAAGGAAGGCAACCTCTGCCTGTCTTTTTCTGCTCCTGGTTAAAAGAAGTATTTTCTGACTTGTGCTAGTTCAAGTGTGGAAGTCCAGATGGCCTGTCACAGTTCATTTTGTTGAGGCAAACACCCCCAACTCCTGTTGGCTGCTCGGGTCTGTGGCAGAAACACCTTTTCTCTTCCAATCTTGGGCTGTGGTCCTCTGGGACCAATAGGAGAACTTTTTCACACATTCAGGGCTGGAAGAATGAAAAGTCTTCACTGCTCCAGGAAGGAAGGAAGGAAGGAAGGAAGGAAGGAAGGAAGGAAGGAAGGAAGGAAGGAAGGAAGGAAGGAAGGAAGGAAGGAATGTGAAGGGAAGGCAGGCAGGCAGGGACAAAAGGAGGGAGGGAGGAAGGAAGGAAGGAAAGAAGGAAGGAAGCTGGAGAGTATGTGGCAGGCAGGCAGGGACGGAGAGAGAGAGGGAGGGAGGGAGGGAGGGAGGAAGGAAGGAAGGAAGGAAGGAAGGAAGGAAAGAAGAAGGAAGAAAGAAGGAAGGAAGCTGGAGAGTGAGAGGAAAGCAGGCAGGCAGGAAGGAAGGAATGAGGGGAAGGCAAGAAGGGAGGGAGAGGGAGGGAGGGAGGGAAGGAAGGAAGGAAGGAAGGAAGGAAGGAAGGAAGGAAGGAAGGAAGGAAGGAAGGAAGGAAGCTGGAGAGTAAGTGGAAGGCAGGCAGGCAGGGATGGAGAGAGGGAGGGAGGGAGGAATGAGGGGAAGGCAAGAAGGGGGGAGGGAGGGAGGGAGGGAGGGAAGGAAGGAAGGAAGGAAGGAAGGAAGGAAGGAAGGAAGGAAGGGCCTATCTTATCACAGCTCAACCAGTGAACTTGTACCAAAAATGGCTATTGACTCCTCATTTTGACACATAGCAGAAAGAAAGAAAAAAAGAGACAAGGACTGCTTTCCCAGTAGTTGGAGGATGGGTTTGTGTGTCTTCTCCTGGAGCCATGGCTTCTCCTCAGACCAGGACAAGTAGTCACAAAGAGATTTATTAAGGTGACCAACTTTTTTACAGTGAAAAGGAGGACACAAGTAGATTGAAGAAAAAAATATCGTAAATAAAAGAAACATTTTATTTATTGCAACAATAATACAGAAAACCTGCATGAGCAAAGTTTGCCAGCCGGGTGTTTTGGTGCGCTCAGCAGCAATTCCTATTGGCTTTCGAAAGCCAAAAGGGGGAGTAGCACAGCTCATGCAAAAGTTGAAAAAAAAAAACCATCAGAAAAAAGGTGCCAGAAGGCCGTTCTGAGCGTTCTGTGAGAAAAAAAAAAAAGCCCTGCAGATTAGTCTTCAAATATCAAAAAGGAGGAAATGTAGGAGGACACTTTTCAAGGGAGGACAGAACTTACAAAAGGAGGACTGTCCTCCCTAAAGGAGGACTGTTGGTCACCTTAGATTTATTCATGTTTTTCCTTCAGTCTGCTCTACCTTTGCACAGGTAGAGATACCCAGCTTCTCCCTTGTGCGATGTATGGGACAGGTGACCAAGAGGGTAATGCTATCAAAACAGTGTGATTATTTTTTTCCCCAATCCTTTCCCCTATGCTTCATTTATTGCAGTTTAGGAAAGAATCTGGCACTTGACTGATAAAACATTTAGCTACTCAAGTTAACTAGCACCAGAGGCAGGAGCATCAAATTAAGCCTGATTGATATCACTGAAAGCCCAGTGGGATTAATTCTCTAGGTCCACTTTAAGTGATTCATTGCCAAATAAATAAACAATTAGAGGCAGAAGCTTACATAACAGCTAAAAAAAGAACTGCACTCCCTCCCCCAATATTAATAATTACATGGCTAACTTTTATTGTATGGTCTGAATATTAAGAGATGTAAGGAACCACCATGTCCTTCTCCCACCCCAAAATTATTCATGCTTGAAAATGAATCTTAAAAAGGGGGAAAGGAATGATATTCAGAGATATATTTTTTTTAAAAAATGGTAGAATTTTGTGAAAAAGGTACTGCGTGAAAATTGCAAAATTTCATGTCCCATTTGATAGATTTTATTTCCTTGGCACATACAGTTAGTCCTCAGCTTACAACAGTTCATTTAGTGACCATTCAAAGTTACAACGGCACTGAAAAAAGTGACTTATGACCATTTTTCACACTTATGACCGTTGCAGCATCCCCAGGGTCACGTGATCAAAATTCAGAAGCTTGTCGACTGATTCGTATTTATGACGGTTGCAGCATCCCGGGGTTATGCGATCCTCTTTTGTGACCTCCTGACTAGCAAAGTCAACGGGGAAAGCCAGATTCACTTAACAACCATGTTACCAACTTAACAGCTGCAATAATTCGCTTAACAACTTTGTCAAGGAAGTGGTGTGATTCCTCGCCAGTCAGTAGACCAGGCAGCTGAGTCTGAGGAATCAGAGGAGGAGGAGGGGCGTGGAGGAAGGCTCTGTGGAGGAAGGCTCTGAGGAGCTCCAAGACTTAGAGTCGGACGAGGAGCCTGGCCCCTCTACTCGTGCTCAGGCTGAGACACAGCTGTGCTGGGAGTCTGAGTTGGACAGTGATGAAGAACAGTTGGGACAAATCCCGGATGCACGAATGTGCAGACAAGAGAAGAGAGTAGGACAGAGGAATGCAATGGGGTGGCTTCAAAGGCAAAGGAGAAGGCATTAGGAAGCCACACCTTGGCTGAATTATAAAAGGGAAGATGTGGGAGGTGCTGGTTGCCAAAGGCAACTGTTCGTGTTGAGGATTGAGTTTCTGTGGACTGTGTTTGTTTGCCTTGGACATTGACTCAGGTCTGTGAGAATAAAAGGGGATTGTTTTTTTCTTGCGGTTCCTGCCTGTTTCTTGGAAGAGGGGTTTCTCCTTGTGAGCATAACAAGGACTCATGTTGGATGGGACAGAACAGCAAGGTTGTAAAATGGGACAAAACCCACTTAACAAATGTCTCACTTAGCAACATAAATTTTGGGCTCAATTGCGGCCGTAACTTGAGGACTAACTGTAGTGCTCACACATCAACCATCTATAGTCAGAAGAAACTTCTGCATCTATAATACAGCATGTGAATTAGCCAGCATGTGAGTTCAGAGTCAGAGAAAGTAATAATAAAAAAGGTTAGAAGTGAATACATCACAAAAATGAAGAACATCCTAAAGTCTAAATTCGGTGGAGGAAATATCGTCATGGCGATTAACACTTGGGCAATTATTAGATACACTGCTGGAATCATGGACTGGATTCAAGCAGAATTAAAAGCCATGGATAGGAAGACCAGAAAAATAATGCCAATGAATTATCTCCTTCAACTACCTAGTGATGTTGATAGACTCTACCTACCAAGGCAAATAGATAGGTGTGATGACCCAGGGCACAGCACAGAGGCAATGCAGTCAGCTGGCAATTCAAACAGTTCTTTTATTGTTCCAAATTTTCCCCAAATGCTCCCATGTTTGCTGGCAAATCTCCAACAAAAGAACACACCCACCCCTTCAGCCAACTCTGGCTGAAAGTAGGTTCAAATACAGTCTGATTAGCATAAGAAAGTACTCAAGGCCATAGAGATAACAAGGAAG